ATAGCCATGGTATAGACTCACTGGTGTACACTGATACATCATATAGTCATGGTATAGACTCACTGATGTACACTGATACATCATGTAGTCTTGGTGCAGACTCACTGGTGTACACTGATACATCATATAGTCTTGGTATATACTCACTGGTATACACCAATACATCATATAGTCTTGGTATAGACTCACTGGTGTACAGTGATACATCATGTAGTCTTGGTATAGATTCACTGGTGTATACTGATACATCATATAGTCTTGGTATAGACTCACTGGTGTACACTGATACATCATGTAGTCTTGGTATAAACTCACTGGTGTACATCATGTAGTCTTGGTATAGACTCACTGGTGTACACTGATACATGTAGTCTTGATCCAGACTCACTGGTGTATACTGATACATCATGTAGTCTTGGTATAGACTCACTGGTGTACACTGATACATCATGTAGTCTTGGTATAGACTCACTGGTGTACAGTGATACATTATGTAGTCTTGGTATAGACTCACTGGTGTACACTGATACATCATATAGTCTTGGTATAGACTCACTGGTGTACACTGATACATCATATAGTCTTGGTATAGACTCACTGGTGTATACTGATACATCATGTAGTCTTGGTATAGACTCACTGGTGTACACTGATACATCATGTAGTCTTGGTATAGACTCACTGGTGTACACTGATACATCATGTAGTCTTGGTATAGACTCACTGGTGTACACTGATACATCATGTAGTCTTGATACAGACTTACTGGTGTACACTGATACATCATGTAGTCTTGGTGCAGACTCACTGGTGTACACTGATACATCATATAGTCTTGGTATATACTCACTGGTATACACCGATACATCAAATAGTCTTGGTATAGACTCACTGGTGTACAGTGATTTATCATGCTGTCTTGGTATAGACTCACTGGTGTACACTGATACATTATGTAGTCTTGGTATAGACTCACTGGTGTACACTGATACATCATGTAGTCTTGGTATAGACTCACTGGTGTACACTGATACATCATGTAGTCTTGGTATAGACTCACTGATGTACACTGATACATCATGTAGTCTTGATATAGACTAACTGGTGTACACGGATACATCATATAGTCTTGGTATAGACTCACTGGTGTACACTGATACATTATGTAGTCTTGGTATAGACTCACTGGTGTACACTGATACATCATGTAGTCTTGGTATAGACTAACTGGTGTACACTGATACATCATGTAGTCTTGGTATAGACTCACTGGTGTACACTGATACATCATGTAGTCTTGATATAGACTAACTGGTGTACACTGATACATCATGTAGTCTTGGTATAGACTCACTGGTGTACACTGATACATCATGTAGTCTTGGTACAGACTCACTGCAGCATACAGAACTAGCAAAAAAAAGCCTTCAACAATGAAAAACTCAAATAATGATTATGAGTCATTTGAGGAAAGTAATGAGTACCATACAATTATTTATGCTTAATCAACAGCCAATTTTGAATTGTGAATGGCCTCTAAAATATGAATAAAACAAGTGAGTGTCAATGACATAGTCCCCGTCCAGTTTTTAGTGACTATCAATTGAAAATAATGAAAGATGTAAATTATAATATAATGCTGAGAGAGTATTCAGCATATTGACATGTTAACCACTAAGGTAAGACAACTTTCAAAACAAATTTGGTTAAAATATGTAAAACATAAGAAATAGTTATGTTTTGTCTTTTTACTTTCTTACAACAACATCACTTAAAGTATGTCTTTAAAGATGCATTCAAATAAAACCAACAAAGCCACTAGTTAGCCATTTTGTATCAAATCACAAAGCAAACTGCACACATTAGTAACTCATCATGTGTGATGTCCATCATCGAGTTCATTCATCTGAGGCATGGATGAGATGAGAAACAAAATGGCCACCAGTTGCAACTTTGAATCAGGTCGCAAAACAAATTGACGTGCACCAGTAATCAATATTGAATGGTGTCAAAAATTTTTGACATGTTTGGGACTAAAATTGCCACCAGTAAAACAATAGTCATTAAAACAAATAACTGATTGTGCATATATGTCTCCCATTATAACTTGTTTTTGTACTAACAAAATCAATCAAGGAATGTCCATCAAATGGTGTTGAATAGAGACAGACAGATGAACAGACAGACGAATGGATGGACACATTGACAAAACCCAAAACTTAGGACCCTGTTTTGGTCTTTGTCTGACATGGACTAATTATTATGTATTTGCATACAGACAACTTGCATGAAGCTGAAATAATTACACACAAAAAAATAATATATACAACTACTGCAAAAAAACGCAAAATATAACTACAGACTTTATGTGGTCATTGGAGAAATGAGGGGTCCATCCATATATCCATTCATTCATCCAACAACCTTCCTCTAGTTATTTCTGCAAGGAAGTGAACTGCATTGCTTTGACATTGAAGCTATCTCACATCTCACTGTCAGCTGGCACTATATGGTATTTCAGGGTTTTTTCTAGAAAAAAAATGCAAGAGGGAGCACTGCAATTCAGCAGCACCACTAAGTGGGGGAGATAGGGTTCTCTCTACCAGGGTGTGGAGTTTTTTTTCTAAGTTAAAATGGAGCATTCTATGTATACCTTAGGGCCAAAATTACTATAAAATAGGACACAGTTGAAGACTGTGTGGCCACATGTGATCCTGGTCAATTAGAATTTTATGGTAAGGGGGCACATGGCCATGGCATGAGGGTGCTGCGCCCCTGTTCCCTTGTTTAAAAATCCCTGGTATTTGTGAAGTCAAATATTGTTATGGGTACAGATGCTAGATGCCAGCTTTGATGTAATTTGAAAAACTAATTAAAATGGAATTTGAAATTAAACGGTCCACCATGTCCAAATGGATTGAAAGGCTGTCCTCCCCTATGTTGCTGTGATTCAGGGTCGAGCGGGTCTTCACCAGCATCATACTTCTTTCTCATTTCTGAAATAAAAGACACAAGTGTCATCGGTGAGCGGTATTTCTTTTAAGAATAATAGGGGAAATACCAAAATTCAATTGAACAGTTTTCTTGATTTTTAGTCTATAGAGGGCAGTGTTCAAAATCACCATACACTAGATTCCAATAATGTTCAAACACACAGAAAACTGACTGCATGATGAGAGTTAATAGATGCTGTAAAAATGCTTTTATCTAGTACAGTAAGAAATGAAATCATACCAGGATCTGTGAGAACTTCTTTAGCTGCAGCAATATTAATAAATGTCTCCTCGGCTTTCGCTTTATCATCACCATTATATTGATCAGGATGATATTGTGCTGCAAGCTTGCGATAAGCTTTGACAATGTCTCTTTTCCTGGCATTCCTGGCATTAAGTTGACAATGTAGAGAATGCAAATATCAAATGAGACTGTAGATTACTCTTTACTCAAGTGATGCTATGTCAATAGCTTGACAGCTTTATGTATAAAAACAACACAAATATCACAATGAGAGAGCCAATGCTTGGGAGCTTACCTTGGAACACCTAAAATTTTGTAGTAATCTCTCTTTTTTGATTGTTTCAAAAGTTTCTGTGCTCTATCTAAGCCTTCTTTTGTCCTCTGATTCTCTTCAATTCCTTTTGCTTTCTGATAATCCTCAACAGCTGCAAGTATAATATTTTGAAACTGATATTTCAATATTAAGATCG